CACAGATGCAACCCAGGATACGCATTCCTGAAGGCTGTAAAGGAATGCGGTACTCGGGGACCAGCGGGAGCGATCATGGTGGCTCCCCTCCTTACCCCTCTAGCTGAATACTGGGGATGTACCGACGGAGAAGATCTCCCAGCCGAACTTCAACCAGAACCAATCAACGGAGGAGTGCTGACGCACATGAATATCCTCAGCAGAGAAGGGTCAGGTTTTATCTTAAACCCTATCATCTCGATTTCATGGGATATGCGCGATTTCAATACGCCGCAAGACATCCCTACTACTTCAGAGTCCCAGCAGCAATCACACGATCCGAACTTCTCCGGCTTGTACCGACGATTAGATGAGGAGCACGCCTATATGGAAGGAGAGTTCCAGTTTATACGCCAGCAGTTTGGCCAGCTGACTGTCAGGCAAGACAGGACGGATCGACAGATAGAGAGCCTGGTCCAGACTCAGGCGAGATTCCAGTGTCGCCTACTCCGCCGCTTCCCTTCGCCAGCACCATCTGCCCACTCCAGCCCAGAGGCAGATAATCAAGAAGACTTAGTTTAGATAGCTTTCTAGTATCTTAAATATGCTTGAAATGTATCCAACAAAAAAGTAGTAATAAATAAAAATCGTTATTTATGTTTTACACTTCGCATTCAAAAAGCCCATGTGTACAAAATAAAAGGCATACATGATCTACTAAAAAGCCAGATTTCAAAATAGCTCGCGATAAAATCAAAATCGCAACAAGTGAAATCAAAATCATTTTAGCAGAATAAAGAGCTTTAAGAAAACCATAGCTCCAACCATTCTCCTCAAACCCCAATAGAAAGAGGGTACATCAAAAAAGGCCGATGGAAAGGGGCTCGATCATCCCCAAGCGGATCCTTGCCTACTCCAAAGGCAAAACAAAACAGAAAAATACTCCCTGACTCAACACCACCACATGAGTCATCTTCCATCCAAGAAAGAAGGACACCATCAAAAATAGAAAAGCCAATGGAAAGGCTTGACCATCCCCAAGAGGATCCTTGCCTACTCCAAAGGCAAAACAAAGATTACCACACGACTCAGCTTCATCGCCACATGAGTCATCAAGCACACGCATGCAAGAGTCTCCGTCACTTCCCCAAAGCAGAATAAGGAGAATAAGGAGAATAAGGACTGCATAAGAGTCCATCAAAGAAAATACGGAATCAAATCCTCCACATCATTAGGGGGCAACCAAAGGAAAAGAAAGAAAAACTTTCATTCCCCAAATAGAGGCCACAACGAAAAAAGGCCAAATAAAAAATCTCCAAGTAAAGCACAGTCTACAAAAAGAGAAAAACAAGAAAATTCCCATCTGCCAGCTCAAATAAGAGCTTCACAAAGCTAGGAGCCAGGACTCCATCATCAAATTTGGATCCCCAGGAAGCTGACAGACTCCTCGGTGAATCCACAAAAAGGAAAAGAAGAAAATATCCTCACTCAATAAAGAAGCTTCTCAAAAAATTCAGGAGCTCAGACCCCATCATCAAAGTTGGATCCCCAAGAAGTGAAGGAAAATTCCCCAGGGATCACAAAAATATATCTCTTCATTCAAAAAAGAAAGGAGCCAATGTGCATAAAAAGAGCACATACGCAAAAAACTAAAATCGCTAAAAGAAGAATTGCGAGAAAAGGGTAGAAACCATTTCCCCATCAAAATAAGAGTTTTAGGCAAAAGCCAGCTCAACCAACAGCAGCCAATAAGGAGTCAAAACTCCATTTCTCCCTAGGGGGCAATTCAAAAATATTCCCCAATGGATCATCAAACAAGAAAATCCCCAGCGAGCCTACCAAATGAAGGCAAAACTACAAGTTTATAACCTCAGGGAATCGCATATAAATTCCCAAATACAAATATTCCCAGTGAAAAGCAAAGTCTTCACTTCCAATAGGCAAGCAGAAAGCCAATATCCCCAAGAAACGGGAAATCAACCTATACAAGAGGCAATCCAAAACATAAGTCTTCACCACTATTGAAGCACCCGCCTAATCAAGAGGTACAATAAAAAATCAACAAAATCCCCAGTGGATTCCCACCTAATCAAGAGGCACAACAAAATCCCCAAGTGGATCTTCGCCTAATCAAGAGGCAGAATCAATAAGAGAATTCACAATTACCAGAGGATTCCTGCCTAAACAAGAGGCAACCAACAAAGAATCCCCGGCAAAAGCCGGATGACTAAACAAAAAAAAAAGTCAAAATCAATTACTCCCCAGAGGCGCATGATAAAAAACAATAAGCCGCTGACAATAGAACCTTAGCAAGATTCAGGTTCACACCCGGTGGGGTGAAAAAATACACTAGAACCTTAGCAAGATTCAAGTTCACACCCGGTGGGGTGAAAAAATACACTAGAACCTTAGCAAGATTCAGGTTCACACCCGGTGGGGTGAAAAAATACACTAGAACCTTAGCAAGATTCAGGTTCACATCCGGTGGGGGTGAAAAAATTCCACTAGAACCATACCAAGATATAGGTTCACACCCGGTGGGGTGAAAAAATACACTAGAACCTTAGCAAGATTCAGAGTTCACATCCGATGGGGGTGAAAAAATTCCACTAGAACCATACCAAGATATAGGTTCACATCCGGTGGGGTGAAAAAATACACTAGAACCTTAGCAAGATTCGAGGTTCACATTCGGTGGGGTGAAAAAATTCCACTAGAACCATACCAAGATATAGGTTCGCACCCGGTGGGGGTGTAAAAACCACTAGAGCCTTACCAAGATATAGGTTCGCACCCGGTGGGGGTGTAAAAACCACTAGAAATCGCATGTACCAAGATGCGAGATTCGTACTCAGTGTGGAAGAATAAACCCACCAAAGCCTTATAAAATAAGGTTTATACCGGATGAGGGTAGGTACTCATCAAAACTTAGCAGAATGCATTAGGTGGAGTAAAAAATACTCACCTGAAGCATTACTAAAAACGGGTGCAAAGACTTGCTTCTATTAGAGGATAGTCCGGTGTTGAACACCTCGGAAGTAAGTACCCACAAGAGTTCTGCAAAATGCAAACTCATACCAGGTGAGGGTAAGTGCTCATCAAAGCCTTGAAAAACAAGGTTTATACCTAGTGGGGGTAGGTACCCACAAGAGTCCAGCAAAATACGGACTTATACCGGTGAGGGTAAGTACTCACCAAGAGCTTTACAAAAGAAGGCTCAAACCAGATAGGGGTTAGTACCTATCAAAATATTTATCATCCGGAGGATCAGCAAGGAGCAGCATCCGAAGGATAGCCGGGCAAAAGGGTTAACTCCTTCCCCTACCAACTAATTTTGTCGGCATACTAACACCAACAAATTAGTTAGGCAGGTGAAGGGGGGGGGGGCAGCTGTAAACCCCTAATTTTGCCCGGCCTTTCAAAATAAAAGCTAGAGGAACTTCACCCGAAGATGGAGTTCATCCGGCTTCCCCAGCAAAATCGAGGAAACCTCCTGCAACAACATGGAGTTCGCTCGTATGCACGATAAACGCAAAAGAGACTTCCTATACAGAGATAAAGCTCGCCCAACATTTTAGTGAAGGCCAAGAAGACTTCCTTCATGAAGATAAAGCTTCAACGGACATATATCGGCATCAATCCACGTCCGAAAACGGCAAGGAAAGCTTCTCGGGGTCCCAAAATACAAAGGCTGGACAAAACGGGTCGAGACCACCATCCCAGGGTTGGGACGGCCGTCCCAACTGCAATTAAGCAGTTGGGACGCGCGTCCCGAATGTGGGACGGCCGTCCCAAACCCCAGGGGGTCCCAACGTGAAGAAAACTGCGTTTGGGACGGCCGTCCCAACCCAGACTGGCCGTCCCAGATTGGCACAATGCAGAAAACACGTTTGGGACGGCCGTCCCAACCCGGACGGCCGTCCCAAACTTCCAGGGCGAAAAATGCTATAAATAGGGGCCTCATTTGTCTCATTCCACACACCGAGACAACTCGAGACTTGTCTTCTTCTCTCCCTCTCTCGAATGATCTCTCCGATTGCCTTTTTTAGGTAACAATCGGTTAAGGAATTTGTATTCCGGCATTCAATTTCTTCTAGAAAATTAGTCGAGTCGATTAGGGTAGATCGAGAGGAGAGAACAATTGTAGAGCGAAGGACTGCCGAAACGCGTCCTCTTTGTACAAGAATCATAATATAAAGCTTGCTACGGAGGTTTCTCTCAATTCTCTTCTTCTTTATTGCTTTATTTATTGTTTTCTCGTATGCAATGTAGATAAATCATGTAGATAACCATATCTAAATAATTGTACGAATAAAATAAGGGTAAATGCGTAATTTCTCATAATCTTCACTTAATGAATAAATCCGTCATAGGGAACCCGAAAGGGGCGTTGTGGGGGTGCTAACACCTTCCCCACACGTAACTAACTCCCTTACCCAACTCCGGTTATAATGGCCAAGTTGGTTTTTAATAAAATCAACGCCTTTTTTCCTTTTCCAATGTTTCCGGTCAAAACATTGGTGGCGACTCCAAAAGAACCCCTTTTCGAAAACCTTGCTTCTATTAGAGGATAGTTCAGTGTTGAGCACCTCGGAAGCAATGAACACAATTTTAACAAAAAACGTGAGTCTCAACCATCTTTTCGCGACCGCTCGCATAAACGTTCGAGACGTCCCCAGGACGTCGGAACGGACGGCGGCGACAGCTACCAACTAATTTTTCGGCATATCAAGCCAACAAGTTAGCTAGGCAGGTGAAGGGGGGGCAGCTATAGACCCCTAATTTTGCCCGGCCTCTCAATAAAAGCTAGGGAAACGTCACACGAAGATAAAGATCGCCCAGCTTATCAATACACACCAAGAAGACCTCCTACTATCACACGGAGTTCATCCAATTCCTCGACAAAGACCGAAGAGACCTCCTATAAACAAAGATAAAAGTTCGTCCAGCATCTCAATAAGGGTCAAAAAGACTTCCCATATAAAGATAAAGCTTCAGGGGACATCTATCGGCATCAAACAATGTCAAAAAATAGCAAGGAAAGCTTCCCAGGGTCCCAGAACACAAAAACTGGACAAAACAAGTCGAGACCACCGTCCCAGAGTTGGGACGGCCGTCCCAACTATCCTAGGACAAGTGAGACGCGCGTCCCACATGTGGGACGACCGTCCCACTTCCCGAGGGCGAGGCTACGTGTTAAAAATTCAAGTGGGACGGCCGTCCCACCCCGGACGGTCGTCCCGGCCCGGACGGCGCGTCCCGGATGTGCCGAGTAGCGAAAACTATAAATAGGAGGCTCATTTGGCACTTTTTCACACCTCGGACACTCGAGACAACTCGGAGCACTTGTCTACTTCTCTCTCTCTTTCGAATGATCTTTCTGATTGCCTTAAAGAGGTAACAATCAGTTAAGGAATTATATTCCGGCATTCGATTCTTCTATAAAATTTTTAGTCGAGTCGAGTTTATTTGTGAGGAGAGTCGTTGTAGAGCGAGGGACTGCCAAAACGCGTCCTATTGTAAAAGAGTTGCAATACAAAGCTTGCTACGGAGGTTTTTTCCAACTCTCTTCTTTTTACTGCTTTATTTATTGCTTGATACATGAAATGTAAATAAAATCATGTAGATAGCCATATTTAAATATTGTACAAATAAATTAGGGTAATAGCGTAATTTCTTGTATCTTCACTTAAATGAATTAATCCGTCATAGGGAACCCGAAAGGGGCGTTGTGGGGTGCTAACACCTTCCCCACACGTAACTAACTCCCTTACCCAACTCTGGTTATAATGGCCAAGTGCGGTTTTTCTTAAAATCAACATTTTTTCCTTTTCCAATGTATAAGGTTAAAACATTGGTGGCGACTCCAAAAGAACCCCTTTTTCGAAAACCTTGCTTCTATTAGAGGATAGTTCAGTTGTTGAGCACCTCAGAAGCAATGAACATATTTTAAACATAAAATGCGAGTCTAAATCATCTTTTCGCGACCGCTCGCATTAAACGTTCGAGATGTCCCTGGACGTCGGAACGGACGGCGGCGACAGGGACGGCCGTCCCAAGTCTTAGGGGGGCTGGCCTTGTGTTAAAAATGCAAGTGGGACGGCCGTCCCACCCCAGACGACCGTCCCGGCCCAGACGGCCGTCCCAAATGTGCCAGGCAGCGAAAACTATAAATAGGAGGCTCATTTGCTCATTTTCACACACCAGACAACTCCAAGACTTGTCTTCTTCTCTCCGTACTTCGAATGATCTCTCTGATTGCCTTTACTAGGTAACAATCAGTTAAGGAATTGTATTCCAGCATTCGATTCTTTAGTAAAATTTTAGTCGAGTCGATATTGTAATCGAGAGAAGAGTCATTGTAGAGCGAAGGATTGCCGAAAAGCATCCTCTTTGTAAAAGACTTATAATATTGTAGACCCCAAATCTTGCCCGGGCTCCAAATAAAGTCAGAAGATCCCCTATTTGAAGACAGTCGAAGCCTAACAAGCCACTAGGAGAGACTATTAGGCTCCCGTACCAAGATAGGAAGGTTTTTTGGGCCGAAAGATAAGTTTTCTCACCTCGAAGGGACGAGACCACCTTCTGGATGACCCAGACCGCCGTTTCGCCTCGCGTAGCAAGTGAGACCGCCGTCTCGTCTAACGAGACCGGGGTCTCGTCTAACGAGACCGGGGTCTCGTTGCCTATGAAAACGAGACCGGGGTCTCGTTGCCTACGAAAACGAGACCGGGGTCTCGTTCACCGAGACCGGGGGTCTCGTTGACTACGAAGCGAGACGACGGTCTCGTTCACCCGACCGGGTCTCGTTGACTGCGAAACGAGACGGCGGTCTCGTACCTGACCGGTCTCGTTGCTTATGTCAACGAGACGGCGGTCTCGTTGTGCGAGACGGCGGTCTCGTTGCCGTCGAGCGAGACCGGCGGTCTCGCCACCTGACAGACGCGAAAACCTATAAATAGGGGCTCTCCACCCCTCATTTCCACACACCACGACTGCATAGCTCTCCCTTCTCTCTAAAACTTCTCTCTAGAATCCCTCCGACGCATTTCGGAGTTTCGAGTGTTTTCAAGAGTGATTTTCGGCATTCGAGAGGTTTCCGACGTCTTGTAGAGTGAAGGGCTGCCATAAAGCACCCTATTTTTCCAAGAGAATTAATATAAAAAGCGTGCTTCGGAGGTTCAAATTCTCTCCTTCCACCTTTACCGCTTTTATTTTAAATTATGCAGTAGACAGTAGGGCCATGTAGTCATACTTTTAAATTCCGCAGAATAAAAAGGGCGAAAGTGTATTTTTCTAGTTTATCAATAAAATAAGCCGGCCTATCATAGGGAACCCGAAAGGGGCGTCGTAAAGGGACTAATACTCCCTTTGCACGTAACCAACTCCCTTACCCAACTCTGGTTCTAATGACCAAAGTTGGTTTTCGAAAACCAACGCCTTTTTAAAACCCCTTTTCCGATGTTTATGGTAAAAATATCGGTGGCGACTCCATAGAACCCAAAATAAATAAGTCCTTGGGTTAGCCCGGTTGTCTGGACAACTCAAGGACACTTTTCGAAAACCTCGTCTCTAGGTTAGCCCGGCTATCGGACAACCTAAGGACGTTGTAACCACCAATAAAAACGCGAAAACAAGAGGGTCGATAAAACCATCGCGTCGCTCCGACCGCCTCGTTTTTGACGGCGGCGACAGATGGCGACTCCACTGGGGAAGCCTAGAGAGTTAGTCCCATTTAGTGATAGGTCGGCTTAAACAATAAATAAACCAAGAAAATACACTTTTGCCCTTAACTTGTATTTATAACATGTTTTATTGTTTGGCTTTCAATAAACTGTTGTTTGTTTATACTTACGCAATTGATTGAAATATAAATTGCACACAAACCCTTGCACACTACAGTTCCTCCTATACCCGGGGGCAAGTGAGATAACCATAGGGAGTGGGTGGCAGGTACGGTTCGCTGCAGTTAGGGCCGTGTGCCCACCAGTGTGATCGGAAACCACCACTCAAGGTGATAACCTTCCTCTTTTGGCAACAAGACCGACTCTGGCCTTAGTGTTGAGCATGGTCGGACGGCTGGAGAGTGGGGACCCTATAATGGGGGCACCTTGGGGGCCTTAGCCTGGTGAGAACAGTTAGAACCTACCCTAAACCAACGCACTTTTCTGCAGGAGAACCCTACCTCGTGATAAAAATGAAATCTCGCCTGTTCGGGGATGATCGAATTGTATGTGCATATGATTGTTGCATTTGTATGTTGCATAGCATAAACAAATAACAGAACAAAATCACAAAAAATTTCACAAATAAACACCCTTATCTCGGATAGTCTGCCTTTTAGCTAGCCTGGTTTCAGGTTCTTTGTAAGCTAAGTAGCCACGCAGTTCCGACAGAAGAGATAAGGGACAATAAATATTCTTTCACATAAAGCCATATTTTATCTCGGACGATCCGCCTTTTAGCTAGCCTGGTTTCGGGTTCTTTGTAAGCTAAGTAGCCACGCAGATTCCGACGAAGAGATAAAAGGCTATAAAATAAACAAGCAACAATAAAACAAAAATAAAAATTCATTTTTTCAAAATTCACAAATAAGACCGGGTCCAAAACATTGCATTCATAAAACATTCATATAGATAGTTTATTCTTCCAAAAAATAAACGCAAATACCATACATCATGTAGGAAAAAACATGATAAAATAGCAAAATAAACACTCACATTCATACAATAAACATCATCTTCATCAAATCATACATTTTGGTTTTAGAAGATGGAGGGGTCAAGTAGACAAGTGGGGAAGGTGGACATTCTCCGAGGCCATACCGAGAAACTAGAGCGGCTCGAGTGCAACGATGCCCCGGAGGTCCAAATCGAGTTTGAAAAATCCTATGGACGGATTTTGGACCTCCCGAAAATCAGTGTCGATCAAGTCTTTCTCAGGGTACTAGTTCACTTATGGAATTCAAGTCTGCGGTGCTTTGAATTTCCGCAGTTCGACATGGTGCCCACCCTGGAGGAGTACGAAACCATGTTAAAATGGCCCAAATCAGCTGGGGTCCATATCCGCCACGAGGCGTATACTCCTGCAGCACCCGCCGTCGCCCTTATCCATCTCGCCATACCGACGCAGTACCCCGATGGGAAGAGGAAACACCCGGGGGTGGAAAGTAGCAATGTTAGAAGACCACCTGTCCTACCTAGGCCGAAAGGGCGAGTGGGTTGCCTTCAATAAAACCCCGGCGCTATTAATCTTCGGAACAACCCTGTTCCCCTTCCAACTCGACACGGTTGACCACGCCGTCATGGACGCTTTCTTCGCCTGGGACGTGAACTCAAAGAGTCCCTTGCCCGCTATTCTCGCCGACACCTTGCTTTCTGTAGACTTCTGCCGTCAAAAGCAAGGAAGAACACTTCGCTGCTGCTCTTCGCTGCTTTATGTGTGGAGCATCACGCACCTCTATGCCTCCGAGTCACATGGGGATATTCCCCGACCCCTTGAGAAGCTTCTCCAAGATCCCCTCCAACGACGCCCGACCATAGAATGGAGGGATGAGTTAGAACAGAAGGATGCCAACAACATATCTTGGGTCTGTCCTTGGTTCCGACCGGCCCAGTTCTCGTCGGATGCGGGAACCATCCGAATGTACCCTTGATAGGACTCGGGGGTTGCATAGCCTACTCACCTAGAGTAGCTATAAGACAACTTATGAGGACTCAAACTACCATCTCCCGAGGGGAACTCGGAGGACTCGTGCTTCTTTGGAGATCCGTGCACAATGGCCAACTCACTGACTGTGAGGAAAGCATGGGAGAAGCCAGTTTACATGGGAGACAGAGAGCTAGGAAAGGCTCGGGTAACTGTCACCAGTGACTATGAGGCATGGAGAAGAAGAAGAGAGATGGCCCGACCATCCACCACACCCGCTCCAATTGCCAATAACGAAGAGTTGCAGGCACAAGTCAATGCCTTGACCCAGAGGGTAGAGATAATGGGAGCCCAGATACGGGTCCTTGAAGAAAAAGAACAAGCCTCTATCCTCACAATTGACGGTCTACAGAGGCAAGGCAAGAAAAAGGATCATGAAATAGAACGCCTCAAGGACCAATGTGCTGACGCCAACGAACAAGCTATCCGAGCATCCAAATCCGCCAGAACCAGCTCGGATAGCCAACTGCAAGAGATAACTACCAAAACAGCACACCATGAGGCGGAAGCAGCTCAGCACGCTCAAACGATCAAAGAGTTATCAGAACAACTCTTCCAGGCCCGGCTA